TTGAATATTGGTAATTCCTAGTACATTTAACATTAAACCATTTCTCTGACTGTAAAAAAGAGGAAATAATATATTATTGGTACTATATTAATTTTATTTAAAACTTTAACAATACGGTAACGACGCCGTGATTTGCGAGTTTTTATTAGATTGATAAACGCCGAGGTTGGCTTTAGGTAAACGTAGTGTCCAAGTTCCCAACACCGGAGGGCGTGCAAAGGTTCCGTCAATGGTTGGACTTCGCATCTTCGTAAAAAATGCGCGGATTGAAATTATTCTGCCAGCGACACCACTGTGAAAGTATTTTATTGAAACACCGATGGTAAAACAAGTGAAAAACCTGTATATGACGACCGAAACTACACATAGAACGTCGGTACGTTTACTTCCGGGACGTGGCAATAGCCACATTGTCTCCGGCCACGCCCGTGGCAATAGCCATATTGTGTCCTGCCACGGGCGTGGCACGAGACTCGGCCAATTCCAAAATACCAGCTCGTCGATATTTATATAATAATGGGCCTACTGATCACCCGATTCAAGTTCCGAGTAGCGTTGTTCCACGGAATCCGACAATCCAGGGCCGTCCGAAGTGACAGCCGAAGGAATGAATTTTGACATGACATCATGTTCAATATCAGCATAACAGAATGGAACGGAAATGCCAATATTTTGGTCACGATTTGTTTTGCAGGAAATAGCGCTAATGAAAGACATACCTCGAACAGCTACTATCGTCTGTATGGAGGACACGGAGTTCTTAGTCATCGACAAAGACGACTTCTTTGCCAATGATTTACATTTACATATCCAGAAAGAATTTGAGTTTCGACATACTTTTCTAAGGTGAGTTCATTTCATTTCAGTTAAAACTCGGACAAGTTGTCTGAGGTTAAGACAATGTTAACGCAGTTGTTGGGTTGGCAGAAACCAGTAGTTCGAACCGAAAGGGTAAGAGCTAAAAAAGGGGTAGGGTTTCGCCACTACGTAACCAGTTGGTTTTCATGACGGCACCTTTTACAACTGTAATTTGTTTTCCCTCATGCATGTCGTCTTTTACTTTCAATGTATTTAGCAATATATAGATGTAATGACAGCACCAAGGCTCGCTGCCTTTTTCTTTCCGGTCTCCTCGTGTTTCGAGCCGACCGTGCAGTGGTTATATTCAGAATTTACCAGCATAGAACCCGCATCCGAGATATTTTGTCGTAGCTACGTGCGGGTTTTGGGGTTTTTGCGTGAAAGCGTGTTTTTTTCACTGGAGTTCTGAGGCCTGAGATTTTCTTTCATAGCCATCAAAATCACTGAGACTGACCGCGTCACAGCAAGGTCGCGCGTCCAGTAAACAAATCGGTTAAAGTGAGTTGCGTGTTTTGCATGAGTGGAAATAGCCCTGAGT